CCCCAAAACCCCAAAACCCCAAAACCCCAAAACCCCAAAACCCCACCTTAGTTTAGGAGTAAAATAATTATCTACCCCTTGAACTCGGAAATGAAGATGCTGTTGGATGAGTCGACATCTACTTGGTATCCAAGTAGTAAGGGAGTGGATCCAATTGTCAATACTTCGATTTCGAGATCAGATCTATCCTTTTCTGCTTCAAATTGCTCCTGCAAAGAGGTTTGGTCTCCGAACATAGAGAGAATAACCACCTTGTTTATAGTGAGGTCGATCAGATTCACCTTTTCATGAGCATACTTTATCTCTTCCTCTGTAATTAAGGATGGGGTAAACACTGTCAAAGTCTTAAGATTTGTAGCCACTCCTCCGACAGATTTAGTTTTAATCAAATTTCCTGTCTTTAGGACTGCTCTCTCGCTAATGTTCTTTATCAGTGTGACTTTATCGTTAAGAGATTGTGAGTAGAACTCTTTCAGCTTTTTAATGAGGTAAGTCAGATATATATCTTTGAATTCTTTCTCTTCAATTAGTTTGCTTACAATTCTATCGAATTCATCTTTGTCCATTTTAGAATGAACCTCATGAGCAATTGTCGAGTTTGATTTAGACTCTTCAACTTCAAATTGCCTCTTGGCAATACCTAGAGAAATCATCTTTTTGGTCAATGAATCCACCATGAACTGAATAGCGTTCTTGTTAGTCTCATTACCCTGGACTATAAGATCGGCGTATTTAGCAGTTGGCTTAATGAACTCATCAAATGAACTCTTGACAGTTCCATGCCACTGGTTGATGACGCTCATGAGGTCTCTACCTCTCTCGCTGATATCTCTCCTTATTCTTCTGCAGAGTCTCACATCGTCATCTTCTTGCACAAAGATTTTCAGATCCATGAGGTCTCTGATTCTCTTGTCGTGGAGGGCAAGGATACCTTCAAATAGGATGAAATAGGATTTATAGATTTTGGTTCTCTCTGAAGTTCTTTGATGGGTTGAAAAATCATAGTTTGGGATCTCTGCGTCTTCATATCTCAACAATTTCAGCACTACTTCGTATATTTCATCAAAATCCAGTGCATCTGGGTGGTCGAAATTGTAATTTGCTGCGTCATCATGGTCTTCTTGGGAAAGCCCTTTGTAGAAGTTATCCATAGAGAGGAGCACACAGTCATCTATGACTGAGAGATTCTCGAAAATCTCTCTGCAAAGAGTAGTTTTACCAGATGCAGTTCCTCCCGTGATTCCTATAAAGTAGGGTTTGAGCATATTAATTTTTTATTATTTATTCTCAACTCGTATAATCTCTTTTGGGGTTTTGGGGTTTTGGGGTTTTGGGGTTTTGGGG